GGGGGGGGGGGGGGGGGGGGGGGGGGGGGGGGGGGGTGTTTGCCAGGCCGTTTCCTCAGAGAGGTGTATGAAATGCCGATGGCTACATACATGCCGCTTCGAGCGGCCTCCGGCTTGCGAAGAGAAAGGACATCGAAATACGCCTATGATGGGGACCACCCATGTGTCTCCCGGTGCGCACCCAAAACGTGCATGCTTGCGTTGTTGATTCTCCCCACGCACGATGTTTGGGAACATCATTCGCCTGGGGAGTGGTTCGGCCGGTTTCCTGGCCCATACTCCCAGCAAACAGTATTCGCCGTAGCGTATATACAGCAACACCAGCAGTGTTGTTTGCTAATGTGTGAGTGCCGCCGTCTGGTGCACACGGTGTCGTGCTTTGTTCACACCCATCCAACACCCATCGCGAGGTAGATCGTGGTGTCGTGCACCATTGATATCGCGTAAATCGACAGGTCGTGGTCCGGCACCTGGCTGTGATGAGTTTGTTTTAGAGTATCCTCTTCCGGGCCCATCCAATATTGTCCGAGGCACGCTGATCATTTTCAATGTTTGTTTTCGCCTGAGAAACGTGAACCATGTCTGGCAAGTCTTGTGATTTTTTTCAGTCGGAAGTCGGAAGCCCCGAACCACGCACTTTTTTTTTACCTCCGTTGCGCGAGAAACCGCCCCGTCTTCCTTGTGCACTGGAGTTACTGTATTGACGTACACAGTTTCAGCTTCAGTGGTACCTCCTGCGTTTACATTTTTGCTGTCACTTCTTTCAGTGTCGGTGATCGGCAATTCATGGGCGAAACACGACGAGCATGCAGCAGGTACTCCTACTACGTGGACTACAACAGTACAACACCGGATTGCTCTGATCTCTACAGTGTACTTCAATTTAGGGTCGACGTTGCCTAAATACTGTGCGCCTTCAGATTGAGGCCCCGTCTAAAGTAGTTGCTACAACTGAAAGCAGGAAATTCTCGCCGTGGTTATTATGCCAAAGGTGTGGTTGAAGCCACACAGCACACAGCTTCTTTCTTTGTGTTTTGCTCAAGAAATTTGGACTATGAGAAAAGGCGACAAGAAATCAGAAACGCCGAAACCAAAAAATATCAAAACCAAAGTCCAACCTATGAGCCGAACCATTGACTTCTTCTCGGACTCACTAGGTATCACCTATCGGGCCAACCCGACGACCATGCCCAAGTCATATCCCTTCACAAGAAAACGCAAAAATCAACGCAAATTGGAAAACAAATTTGGTACTAGACAGATTTTTCTATTCCCATTGATCCTTCCTCTCTTGAGCGACAGGGTGGGTGGGTGGGAAAATTCGATCAAGTCCCAAACGAAAACTCTTTTCTCTCGCTGCTGCTTTGCTGCACTGCCTTCGCGGGCGATGCAACGCTTTTCCCTTCGAGGTCCTCGGCTTCCCAAGGATTCCAAAAGCTTCTGCCACTCTATCTCTCTTCTTTGCACCCTGTATATATAGCTATACCCCCGTGTACCCTTTTTTGCCTCTCGCCGCTCTTTCACGAAATTTCCGGAACGCTTCCACAAACCACGGATTCACGGTTATACCGAATCCTTCGTTTTGTGTTTGCTCAAGAAATTTGGATTATTAGGAAAGCGACAAGAAATCAGAAACACCGAAACCAAAAAAGATCAAAACCAAAATCCAACCTATGAGCCGAACCATTGACTTCTTCTCGGACTCACTAGGTATCACTTATCGGGCCAACCCGACGTCTATGCCCAGGTCATATCCCATTGCGCGGCCCGATACTCGGCGCTCTTGTCCACGCTACTTCTCCCCTTCAGGTAGACGCTAGTGCGCGCGATACATAATTAGCGCCTTCGCCTCCTGCCCTAACGTACGTCATAAACGCTCCTGACTTCCACCTCCCCGCCCTCTGAATCTGAATAACCGATGCGCCCTGCTTTGCTAGTTGCGTCGCACCACCTATCCTCCCTGAANGTCCACGCTACTTCTCCCCTTCAGCTAGACGCTAGTGCACGCGATACATCACTAGCGCCTTCGCCTCCTGCCCTCACGTACGTCATAAAGGCTCCTGACTTCCACCTCCCCGCCCTCTGAATCTGAACAACCGATGCGCCCTGCTTTGCTAGTTGCGTTGCACCACCTATCCTCCCTGAATGCAGCGCGAAGTGCGTTGGGTCTTCTCCTACTCTTCTCGCCATGTCTCTCAGCACTGTCGTCGCTTCCGACCTCGACACTACTGCCCACCGTCCCTGCTTGACCGACTGAATGAGCCGCGCGCTACTTCCTAACTCTGGGTGCACGTCAAGCAGATTCAGCAAGATCTCTAGCGATCTCATCTTCTCAGCCATCTGTCCCCCTTCCTCGTCCCGCACCACTCTCTCGTTACTACCGCGCCTCGCCTCTTTTGGTCCGCTTTCGACGCGCGAAAGGTCACTTCTACTCTGTCTGCCCGCCTTCTTTCGTTCCGCGCTAGCCGACACGCTCCTTCGAAGAATACGAGGTTCCCTCTCGTGAGACAAAAATCGGCGTGTACTAAGCCGTTCTGGTAGGCCCACAGCTCAGACGCTCGGCACAGCAAGAAATATGAGAGAGCGATCCCCATCCACGTCACTAGTCCGAAAGCATTCGTCTGCGCTCTTTCTCTACCAGTAATGATCATCGGCACGGTGAGCGGCTGCCTTACCAACGGTTTCGTCTCTGCCCTCGCATGCAGTCTGTCTATTGCCTTCCCAACTGCTACCACTCTGAAGTGAGACGTGGGCAGCTCCCAGCCTGCGTCCAGTTTATGGAAGTACTTGATAGCCGCGAGGTACCCCTTCACCGTTTGGCTCTGGTTCTTGTACACTAGACACCTCGACGCCATGAACCAATAATTCTATTTACGTCAACGGTGGCGTTATTTCTTATTTTGTGGTAGATGCAGTATCATACTGCTGAGCCCCCTTTTGAGCAAATCTCCGCAACCACTTATTTATCGGATTTGACCGTCGAAAGGCTTGTATGATTGGTGTGGGTCATAGCCACACAACGCAATTTATGTTGTGCCAATTGAAGCTCTGTGGGCTGAGATACGGGCGGTGACGTATGTAAGAAATAACGCCACCGGTGACGTAAATAGAATCCTCCATTTTGGTCTGATAGCNTGTTCGCTTCCTGCGCTTGAACACGTTAGAGTCATCACACCTTTTTTTTTAGTGCTTTTGGTGATCATTCTCTCTCATCACTTCTTCCCTTTACACGCTTGCCATGCGGCTCCACACGAGGCCATCCATTCTTTGGTTCGGAAGTTTCTCCTGCAGTATCATTTCAATTCAATTAGTTCTCTTCCGTTGTCTCCGATGTCTTGCATTCGCCAGTTATCGTCGTGCGTGAGTCTTTCCACGTTGACTTTTACGTCCTCTGACTTCCATCTAGATATCCTGTCCGCGAGGGTATTCTCGCGTCCCGGGATGTGTTTCGCGACGTGACACCATCCGTTTTCAATCTCCATACGACCAAGCAGTCTCATGAGCAGTTCCGCTTGCCTATCTCTCGAGCCCCCGCATCTGTTTACCCATGGTACCGCCGACACGTTGTCTCCCCTCATCATGATAGTTTGTCCGGGTTGCGTCGGCTTTTCTCCCACAAACATTTGGACCACCCAGCATGTAATTATCATCCCGAGCAATTCTAGCGTGTTGATCGTGATTGCGCTGGCTTCTTTGGCTTCTGCTTTCCTCTTCAGCTCCGCGGTAAACGCGGGTTGAAGTCGATACCGCCAGAACACTTCTAATTCGGGACAGTGACCGCCTACCGCGTCGAAGCTAGCATCCGATAGGTAGTGACGGAGAAGCGTGCGTTGGACGTGGTTGAAGGAAAACGCGCTAGGTGACTCTCCTTTCTCCGCGAGTTTAACTTCCAGCGCCCACCTCCAGAACTCTAGGTCTCCGTGGAACTCCCAACCAAGACGTACCTTCCGCTTCTCTCTCGACTGTCTGTTAGTCTTGTTGTGTAGGCCGGTGAGGCGTAAGAGGTGCCATACGAAATATTTCCCCGCCCTCATGACGTACGTCAGGTTCCAGAGTTTTCCCGCCATACTCAGGACTTCTTGCACACTGGCGAATTCTCTGGTCTGTGGCCAATCGTTCAATAGCGCGGTCCTTATCGCGTCCTCTCACGTGTTGTCGCGATCGTCATTTTATGGGTGTCTATCGTGTTTCCGAGAAAGTCCACTTTCGTGTTCCAGTCTGTGCTTTTCTTCGGGGCAAGAATGGGCGTTTGGCCCGCCTCTGCTGGCCCGAAGAGTCTCACACAGTCAGACGCTAATGACGCGGAGGCTACCAACGCTGATGCGTCGTCTGGCGCATGTTGTACTTGCAGTAAAGCGAAATCGTCTACGTACACCCCGCACGAGAAATCATCGCGTGGTCCGCCTCCGTCGTGCGGTTTCACGTTGGCATCTCGGGGCACTCGGGCGGGTTGTCCGTCTTCCCACGGCTCGACTATTTTCACATGTGACATCATTTCGATCCCTTCGTCTACTAGTTGTACGTTGTGTACGTTGGTGTTGCGGTGTGAGTGTTCAGCGGCGGACGCCATGACTCCCCAAAAACCGGGCGAACCTGCCCATCCAAACGTCAGTCTGAAGTCGGCGACTAGTACGTCTCCTATCACATAGCAGAATTTTTGTGCATCGTCTGGCGCAACTCTCACGTTTCGGTAAGCGTTGTTCACGTCCGCCGTGGACACTAGTATCCTAATTGTCAGGCCATTTGACTCTCAAGCGCGTTATTTCAGAAAGGAAAGCAGGCAGAGTCTCTCCGCACAAACAGTCGGGAACTTCTTCCGATACCGTATCGACGTTGACTCCTCCCTTCTGTCCGCGCAGCAGCTTGGGGTCAAAAGAAAAATCGTTTATGATTCTGATTTTTTTTCCTACCACTGCTCCTAGCGGCGAGACGCGAACGCCCTTCATGCAAGTTGCGTCCGCTACGTTGAATACGAGGCATCTGTGCTGTTCGACGTCGTCTATCAGCTTCTTCCACACCAGCTCCATGTGGGCGTCTATCGTACTGTGATTTCCGTATCGCAGAGCGATCTCGAGGTTTGGCGGGCTGTCGTGTGTTTTCGCTGGCACACCGTTGTCTATGATGTCTACGAGATTCGTTAAGTCTGGGAAGCATTTTTTGGTTCCGAAGTGATGTTCGAGGTCGCTCAGGTTTAGCGGCGGTGACACCAAGGTGCCGCCGATTGCCCTCGCG